TGTACCTGAGTCCACTGTGCTTAGAAAGGACCCTCTCAATGGATGGGTTTCCCTGGGAAGTGGACATTGAAGAGATCTCCTGGGTAAACTGGGAGTGGGGAGGGGGAATGGAGGAATGGGGACTTGAGGGAGCGAATGGGTTGGGCAGGCTGGGCACAGGAGTCGGGTTGGAGATGGGACAGAGGAAAGAGTAACAAAAGAGACCTCTTGGTGGGGAGGCATTTTAGGGTTAGAAAGAAACCTGGCACCAGGGAACACCCCAGCAATTCACAAGGGTTACCCCAGCTAAGACTTCTAACGATAGTGGAGAGGGTAGCTGAACTGGCAGATCGGTGACTACCCTGGTTGTCATCAGAGATACTCTATCCAGTAAATGATGGAAGCCAAAACAGAGATCCACAGCCAAGCCCTGGGCTGAGCTCCAGGAGTTCTCCTGAAGAAAAGGAGGAGGGATTGTATGAGCCAGGAGCATCATGATGGGGAAACCCACAGAGTTCATTGGAGCTCATGGATGCTGGACCAACAGTTAGGGACCTGCAATGGGATTCAACTAGGCCATCTGCATGTGTATGACAGTTGTGTCTCTTGGTCTCTTTGTAAGGTTCCTAGCAGTGAGATCAGGACCTGTCCCCTGGTACTTAGCTGGCTTTTGGGAGCCTGTTCTCCCTGCTGGATTACCTTGCCCAGCCTTAACACAAGGGAAGGAGCTCTGTCCTGCCTCAGCGTGATGTCCTATGCTTTGCTCAAGCTCATGGGAGGTCGGCCCCTTTATGAATGGAAATGGAAGATGAGTGGAAAGGGAAGAGCAGGTGAGAAGCTAGGTGACTGAGAGGAGAGGAGGGAGGGGAAATGTCAGTCAGTATGTAAAATAAATAAAAAACGTTATTTAAATAAAACTTTTTTAAAAGTTTTTAAAAAAAGAAAAAGAAAAGAAAGAGCCCTCTCTCCTCCAAATCTTTGGAAAACTTCTGAAGAATTGATATTAATTCTTCTTTAAATGTTCAAGAGACATTATCAGCATATCATCTGGAGCTAGGCATTGCCTTCCAGCAATACTTAATACATTATTTACTCTTCAATCCCTTCATTTTTATTTTTTTAATTAAATTATTCACTTATTTTACATCCTGACCCTAGTTTCCCCTCCCGCCTCTCTTCCCATTCTCTCCCCCACCTCTTTCTGCCCTCCCCCAGAATTCCAGAATCCACTCCTCTGTTTCTGTCCAGAAAGGGGCAGGCCTCCCATGAGCATCAACAAAGCATGGCATATCAAGTTGAGGTAGGGCTAAGCTCTCCCCCTCATGTTAAGGCTTGGTAAGGCAACCCAGTAGGAGGAATAGGTTCCCAGAAGCCTGCCACTGTGTCAGGGATAGGCCCTGCTTCCACTACTAGAAATCCCACAGGGAGATCAATCTATACAATTGTTACAAATATGAAGAGGTCCTAGGTCAGTCCATGCAGGCTCCCTAGCTGTCAATGCAGTGTCTGTGAACTCCAAAGCGCCCAGGTTAATCATCTCTGTGGGTTCCCTTGTGATGGCCTTGACCCCCTGGGATGTACAAACCTTCCTTCTGCTCTTCAACAGGATCCCTGGAGCTTGGTCTGCTGCTTGGCTATGGATCTCTGCATCTGCTTCCATCAGTTACTGGACAAAAGCTTTCTGATGACAATTAGGGGAGTCACCTATCTAATTCCAGGAGATGACCAGTTCAGACTACCTATCCACTCGGCTAGGAGTCTTAGCTGGGGTCACATTTGATATCCTCTTAAAGATGTGTATGCACTGTGTAATCTGTCTGAGTCAGCTCCACTAATTTGTATCTCCTTAGCAATTTTCTCATTTCACCTCAATTCTAACTTATTGTTGGTTGTTTCTAGCATATTCCTTTGTACTGGCTATTCGTTTAGGGTAGATAATAATAACGCTTCACTCCTGGCATTAGGGTTTGGAGTCTCCTTCAGCACCATTGTAATTTTCACTAAAATTTTATTCTGTTAGCCTTTTCAATAATGCTTTATTTTGTTGATTCCCTACATTTTTCTGGTCCATAAATTTCCATGATGAGCCATTACTTCCCCCTTTCTGATTGTTTTCACTGTTTGTTTGGTTACAGCGTTTGCTCTTCTTTTCCTAGCGTCTTCAAAGGAAAACTTTATTTGGGAGGTGGGGGTGTGAGAAGAGTGGAGGGAAGGAAAGCTGTGGTCAGGATGCACTGTATGAGAGAAGAATCTATTTTCAATAAATACAAAGAGAAAATTTTAATATAGTTCTTCTTAGCCACAATTTTCCTGGTGCTACATTGACTGCCTCCCAGAACTTCAGTCTGCTTTATCTTCATCTTCATTTGAATTTTTTATATTTCCTTTGTGATTCCTTGACCTGTGCGCCACTTAAAAATGCTGCCCTTTCTTATGTCACCATTTTTGAGATTTTCTTACTAGTTATTTCATGGCATGTCCATCCCTATGTGCTCTCCGTCCACTGTAATGTCGCTCTACAGTATAAGATGAAGACACGGTCTGTGTGTGATTGTTACGTTGTACATGGCACAATCAGGAGTACCATTCACACGGCAATGAATTTGAGTGTTCTGATGCTTTACTGACTGGTGGCTGGAAATGCCCTGTTTTAGAGCCTGAAGAGTTGACTCAACAACTAAGCACACTTATTGTTCTTGCAATGGACCAAAGTTCAGTTCCATCCCCCACATTGGCAGCTCACAGCATCTGTTAACTCTAATCCTAGGGAATTCAACACCCTCTTCTGACCTCAGTGGGCACCAGACAAGTAGGTCATACACAAGCATATATCCAAGCAGAAAACCCAAACACAAAATGATACAATATATAAATTCTGAAAAAAATCCAGTTTTTAAAATGTCCTGTTTTAACATTGATATTTTTATATATCATCTGTAACAGTTTTTATATTGTAACAGTTTGATGGCAATGAAATTAAAATATCTGAAAAAGAGACATTTTCTAAACCACACAAATGGAATGTGGTCAAATTACTTACCAGTTACTTACTTTACAGTCCTGTCTGTCCTATTTTCTTGAAAGATGCATTCTGTGCCCTCCTGAAACTCAGTGACATACACCTCTGTTCTCTGGAATTTGGTAATGGGGTGTATTCTGTTTCTCTACTACCCAGACTAAGTCAGCAACTGCAAAGAGCCAGAGAGCCCTTGAGAAACTGAATTTCACATCTTTGCTTACTTGTCTTTAATTTTAAATAGCCACAGCTAGCGATTCTCTATGTAAGGAGGCTGTTTATTTGTTCCCAGCTGCCCAGACTCCCGAAATAACCACACAGAAACTGTATCAATTAAATCACTGTTCGGCCAATTACTTAAGCATATTGCTAGCTAACTTTACATCTAGAATTAACCCATCTCCATTATTTTATACTTTACTATGAGGCTCATGGCCTACCAGCAAGTTTTCAACATGTCTGTCTCTGGTAGTGGCTCCATGGCTTCTCTCTAACTCTTCCTTCTTTCTCCCAGTATTCGGTTTAGTTTTCCATGCCTACCTCTATTCCCTGCACAGGCTCAAGACAGTTTCGTTATTAACCAATGGTATTCACAGCATACAGAGGGGAATCCCACATCAATTTCCCGATTGATCAGTTGAGGTATCACCTCATTGCCAGCTATCCCTCCCAACACTGTGTAGTTTATGTAGTTACAATGTAGTTTAAGTAGCAGAGTCCCCCAAGTCAGCGTGGAGAGTTTCAGATATGCTAGAATTCCTGGAATGACCTGTGGGAATATTTCTTTTAAAAGATTTAATGTCTGTCTGTCTGTGTGAGCTTTGGAACTGGAGTTGTGGCCCGCCAGTCACTGATGCTGGGATCCTAACTCTATGGTCCTCATGATTGAACAGTAATGGCAAGTATTCTTCACCAACGAACCAGCGTTCTCTCCAGAGCAGTCTCTCGCCACGTCTTTGTGGGAATATTTTTTAAAGATACTATTATGGGTCTATTAAGAACTCAAATTCAAGAAGTCATATCTCTAGTAGAAAAACAAGTTGTGTGGAAACCACAAATGAGAACCAAGATGCACACAGAGTCCCTAGAATCTGCCTGTATCACAGAGGACTCCCATTCCCCTAACTCCTCTCACCCAAGCCCAGCCAAACTGCAAGAGAGGCAGGAAGCTTCTCCTTCCTGATGTGGGAAACTAGGGAAGGAAAAGCAGCAACCTTCAAAGCCTCGGACGGAAACAGTTACATTATGCAGATAGTGCTGAGTAAAGGGAATGAATGAAACCCATGTGGCCCTGCATGAATTTTTTTTCATAGAACTGCCTTCTGAAAGTTTTTACAGACTTAGAGAATCTTCCCAGGGAGTGTTTGAAGTCAGGAGATAGAGGGCCCTCTCATCTCTCAGTAAGGCACACCTTTCTATTTTCCAATAATGTTCTTCAAATATGTATTGATGAAAGCCAAATTGTTCATAGATAAAACAGGCATAGCCAAAATATTGCATCCTCTGGAATAAAATGTGATATTGGCAGAAGGGAGGGGTTTTTTTTTGCTTTCTTTCTCTTTTCTAAAGAAGTGTAAATGTTTGATGTCAGATCAGTGTCTTTTCTTATATTAGAACATACAGTAGATAACATTTCACAGTGTGATTTGTCATGAGTAATATGGTTAGTTTATCCCAGACACATTCAGTTTTGCTAGTTCAATGTAATTAAATCCGACACTCCAGAATCTCCTACACTTACCGTTTCCTTTTCTCTGGGCTCATGTGATTCTTCGATCAGAAAGAAAATAAGAAATCACAATGCTCGTTCCTAAGCCATCATGGGATAAAAATGCATCTCTTTAGATAGACCTTGAAAATTGGTGCCCCCCTCTAAGGGAAAGCGCGCTGCGAAGAGGAAAGTTGAAAGTCACATTAGCTTGACATTGTGAGCGAGAACGAAGCCCACAGGTAAATTTAATTTCCCTGCAGGGGAATTAATCCTGCTTCACCCATTTGTCTGCAGGTCATAGATCTGTACTGGGGAGTTGATGAAGATGAATGGGACAGCCCTGAGCTGCAGAAGATGCGCATGAAGCTGCTGGAGGAATGCTTGAAGACTTCTGCAGGTCCATGCTTTGTTGTGGGTATAAAAACACTAACGTTTTCTACTAAATCATAAGAGTGTGACTTATGTGCTGATGTGTGGGGGCTAGGGGTATTTTTAAGTAGTAAGAGGAAGATTTCTTAAGTATTTATTTTAAAGAATTTTTAACTACCTGCTTACCCACATGTGTGAGAAAAAAAATCTCATCAGCTCTCACAAGACATATTACAAATTAATAATGAATATTTTGAAATGGTAATGGGTGGAATGACTTAGAGTTGAGCAATTTTCCAACTTGCGGTGAGCAATAAGGATGACTTTCTGTCCTGCAGTAGCATTGCTCATCGAGCTGTTTGATTTACTACATCACCATATCTTTTTATTCCCCCAATATTAAAAAGTCTACTTTATCAATTAAAAGTTTTTACCAAGGATAATAAATTGCATCAAGGTCTGTATGTGCTATTGGCTGCTCTTTGTGTTGGGCACATGCCAGGGTTAAGCATGTAGTAGTGCCATTTGGAGCTCCATCTTCTCTTGATTCGACCTTTGCAATGAGTGAAAGCAATAGATTTCCTCACTCTCTTGGAGCTTGCATTCTTCTGTGGATAGAAGTGGGAAGGGGCAAGCAAAGTAAATCAATAAATTAAGAACTCAGATGGTGATCAGCACAATGAAGAAAAGACGAGAGGGAATGCCAGCAAGGGGGGAGATTTGCTATGTTAATGATAGGTGGCCAATAAAGGAAAATGGTATGGGTGGCTTGGGTGAGAAAGAACCTGGCCGATATTCTAGGTCAGAACTCTCTAAGGAGTGGTTGTCCAGGCTTATCCTTGGCATGTGACTGGAAGAGTGGGAACAAAGGAGGATGCTGTACATATGAGGGACACCTGCCAGGCCTTTGAATTTATTTTAAAAAGTGTCACACATAATTGAGAACTTCCAACTCTGGAAAGAAAATTTTATTAAAAGAAATAATTTGCTTTTACTGAGTGACAAAGAAAGTCAAAGAAACATGTTGAAGGGTGTAAAGAAATAATCCTACTGGCATCTTTAGAACCACCTTCCTGTGTCCAAGGTTGGCCTGGGACATAGAGGGACATGCAAACCTTGGGGAGTGACACAGTAATCCAAAGGAGAAAGAAACCTGGTTTAGAGGTTGACAGAATGAATGGATAAAAACATAGATCTAAGCCTCAGAAAAATGAATCACCAACTACACCATCACTGTGGTTTGAATGAGAAATACCCTCAATGGCTCCCTTGGACCCCAGCTGGTAGTGCTGTTCAGGAATGTTATACAACTCTTAGGAGGTGCAGCTTGCCAGAGGAAGTACAGCACTATGAACAAGCTTTGAGAGTTCACAGCCTTAGCCTGCTTCCACTTGACTTTCTCTGCTTCAGTGTGTGGTTAAGATGTAGGCCAGGAGCTTCCTTCTCCTAGAGCCATGACTACTATTTGCTGCCATGACTCCCCACCATGATAGATTCTCATCCCTCTGGAACCATAAGGCAAAATAAACCCTTTCTTCTCCAAGTTGTCCTTGGTCACAGTATTTTCCACAAGCAAAGTACCTAAAACAACTGTCCACAAAGTAGATAATACAAGCCACTAAAGCAGGGGAGTTGTGAGAGAAATTCAAATCCCAGAACATAGGTTAGATCAAATTCCTTCATGCTCAGAAAGCTAGATTTGAGAAGCCTACAACTATGTATACCTCTTGACAACTCAGGGGCCATGTTCTCATTAGCTCTGTCTCAGTCTAGCCTAGGAAATTCAAAAGTCACAGATATATTTGAAATAGTGTTATTTCGTAACACTAGAATGTTGTGCCTAAACCAAAACTATTTGTAGCTATTAATTTCAATAAATTGCTAGTGGGAGAATGAACAATTTAAAGACTGGCAGTATAGCAGATTCTGAGCATAAAGTTGACTGACAGGACATCATCAACAACTTTCCTGGGTCTGAACCAATCATTTATCCCTCCTGTTACATGTTTAAACTCAGAGCAGCCACAAGAAAGCCCTGCAGACAGGTGGAGGATTATTTACCCTAACAATCCGAAATTATACAAGGCTGGCCTCAGTGTTTGTAGGAGAGCACATCTCAGAGCTTTTCCTGTTGTAACTGGTAATTACAGTGATATCAGCAGGCTTGTGTCACTCGTGAGCTGCAGTGTTTTTGTCTCATACCTCCTTTAGATATCTCCACAACTCCTGGCGTCCCTGTGGGATACAAAGCTCAGCACGATAGTTCCCTGAGTACTGAAGACTTTGTCAAGAAAAGTCACCATTGTTGAATAAAGGATGGGTCTGTATCTTCACAGACACTAGCTTGTGTGAAATACAGAAAAATCCAGGGCCAGGCAAAGGTTTCATTTGAAATAGCCAGGGAATGAGGAAGCCCAGGGATTAGTGGACTAGAATAATAAGTAAGTCTGACTCTCTAAATTGTATGCCTCATTGACATGTAGGTTATGTTGCTAAGAGAAAGTAGTTGTTTTTATACATTTTTATTGCAAAGAGAACAGGAGGCGAGAGTTGGGGGATTGATCACAGACCTGATGCTGCCCTTAGAGATTAACTCAGAAGACACTGTAGAGAGCATACATCAGCACCGAAGGAGACAGCATTTGCATAATGAGTAAACAGCCACAAAAGCACCAACATTACATTTCTGCTGAGGCTCCCCTCTGGTTCAGTCAGGTGAGCAAAGGCCTCACTATGTTTGGTTATCTCCATAAAGATGGGGAAGTAATAAAAGAATCAACTTCAAAGTTTTATTATGAGGCTTGACCTGTTAATATTTAAAGTCTGAATTCTTTGTAAAGTATAAAGCTTTACAATGTCTGTTATCAAATTGATTTCATGTATGATGAACAATTATGCCATACTGAACATTTTTCTTTTTTAAAATGTTACTGATAAATGGTATTTAGGCTTTATTCCCAGACTGACTGTATAGCTCATAAAGTCTGTGGTTAATCCTTGAACCATAAAAGTAAATGAATGAAAGAAAAACTATATAGACTAAAAGCAAGAATAGCAATGAGACTACATCAAATTAAAGGTTTCTGCACAGCAAAAGAAAATAAAGGAGAAAAAAGACTATGCACACAATAATAAAAAAATGTTTCCCTGCTCTTAGTCTAAAACAAGATTAAATCAGTCAGAACTTGATTTTAAAAATCAAGATAATCCAAATAAAATGTTGAATGATCTCAATAGATACTTCTTAAAAGAAAAATTTCATGTGACAAATATATAAAAATGCTCAATACTGTGAGCCACTAATGGGTAGAAATTCAGTCAACAATGAAATTTCATCTTATCTTAGTTAAAATGCCTATTATCAAAAGTAAACGAAAATACGAATGCTGGCATCCGCATGGAGATGAAGGAACCTTAAACACCGCTGGTGGGACAGGAAACGGGTCCAGCTACCATGGAACATGGCAAGGGAGTGCAATTACAGGCAGCAGTGTGGAGGATTCTTAAAGAACTACAGAGAGGACTTTTATAGGACCTGGCCATTCTTATATAAACATCTATCAGAAGTGGATTTCACACGTACAAGACACACTTAATTAAAGACCAGTAAGATGACTCTGTCGGCAAAGTACAAGCGTGACTCCGCATAGCTGTTCTCTGGCCACCATACATGCACTGTACTCTGTGTGCACCCATACCTATGTATCATACACACGTACATAGAATGGGCTATTATTCGGTCAAAAAATAGGAACCTTGTCAATTGCAACAAGATGAGTAAATCCACTGGACGTCACGTTAACTAAAATAGGCAAGATAAAAAAACCACCTCACTTGTTTTCTTTCTTGTGAACAAATTTTAAAAATACAAGAAAAATGGGGAAAGGAAGAGTATTTGAATGTAGAGCTTACTTCCACCCTTGAAGGGGAAAAACAGGATACTATCATAAAAGACATGATCATCTCACCACGTATGCATGAAAATATTAAGCAGCTTTCACTCATTTGTACTTTTGATATGTTAATTATCATTATAAAATATGGCTCATCCAGAGAGGAAGAGCAATGAATGAGATATCTAAATAGAAGGAGCCATTATGGGGTTAGAGGCAAATCTGATGCTCGGAAAATTCCCAGGAATCCACAACGATGACCCCAGCTAAGACTCCTAGCAGTAGTGGAGAGTGTGCCCGAACTGGCCTTCCCTTGTAATCACATTACAATCAGTCAATTGTAATCAGTCACATTAGTGACTGTCTTAATTGTCATCAGAGAGCCTCCATCCAGTAACTGATGGAAGCAGATGACCCACAGCCAAGCACTGGGCTGAGCTCCTGGAGTTCAATTGAAAAGAGGGAGGAGAGATTCCACTTACCTCCCCCTCCCCCACTCACCTTATCCCTCCCCCTCCAGTCTTAAGAGAGGACAGGGTACCCTGCCCTGTGGAAAGTCCAAGGCCCTCCCCATTCCATCCAGGCCTAGGAAGGTGTGCATCCAAACAGATTAGGGTTCCAAAAAGCCAGTACATGCAGTAAAAACAAGCCCCAGTGCCATTATCATTGGCTTCTCAGTCAGCCTCCATTGTCAGCCACATTCAGAGAATCCAGTTTGATCACATGCTCATTCAGTCCCAGTCCAGCTGGATTAGGTGAGCTCCCATTAGAACAGGCACACTGTCTCAGTGGGTGGACCAACCACTTGCAGTCCTGACTTCCTTGCTCATCTTCTCCCTCCTTTTGCTCATCAACTGGACCTTGGGAGCTCAGTCAAGTGCTCCAATGTGGATCTCTGTCTCTATCTCCATCCATCGCCGGAAGAAGTTTCTATGGTAGTATTTGAGATATCCATCAGTGTGACTATGGGACAAGGCACCCTCTCCTCTGCTGCCCAAGGACCTAGCTGGGGACATCCCCATGGACACCTGGGATTCCCTCTAGAGCCAACTCTCTTGCCAACCCTAAAATGGTTCCCTTAATGAAGATATCTTCTTCCCTGCTCCCATATCCACCCTTCCTCCAACTCCCAACTTTTGCCCAGAGATC